GTTGACGATACGATGTCTGAAATCAACAACTCCCCACGTTGCTAGGGTGTAGCGCTTCTTAGACACACTTTTGTTTGTACTCAATGCCAAGTAACTACAACTACACATCGTCTTCCAACATTCTTACGAGTGCTTCTCCCCGTGTGAAAATTGTCTTTTGATTTTCTTGAGCTTAAAGATTTACTTATTCTCATGCCCTTACCCCATTGTTCACTTCTTACTCCACCCGCCGAACGAACAAGCCCAAAAGGTCGCCAGCCATTCTTCGAACCAAAGCCCTAGATCATCCATATTGAACACTGGCACAATTGTCCTCAACGTCAGCATTTACTTAATTTCACAGTCCAATCACACAATTATGACACTAGGGCGTGGAGATACAGACATCTTTGGAGAGGGCACCAATTTCTTTTGAGCATGGACGCCGTCGTCAAGTAGTCCTTCAGATTCATCTGAACGATGTCCTAGGAATAGGCGGCATAACGTGAGGTCTCGTCCAATTCCAGTTGTTATGGTATAAAACTGCTTGTTCAACGACGGAGAGAATTAACGAGAGTATGCATCACAAACATAAGGAAAATGCCAGTCTAGCTCAGACAGCCGATGAGTTGAAAAATCGGGTTTGCCATCTCAAATGCAGACCAGGCCATAATCCACAATCTAGGCCTTCAACAGTTAAAGATGAGATTTTCAAAAGTTCTCAAATGCTGACAGACTGCCTGACTGTGAATGGACATCCTTCATTAGATCTCTTGACGCTGCACTGCTGGATGCGCAACACCAGTTCTACCTTGAAGATTGCAGGCTATGCAACCGTACTGTTCGTGCTCAGAGTTCGGTTGGGATGCCACTATACACAGCCCCAGAAAATAGTCCACACGGAGTCCAACCACACAAGATGACTATCTGGTTCCTTTTGGAACATTTGTATGGACACTTGAATACCACATAGTGGCGACATTCACTACACTTCCGATACTCAGGTTCTATTCCGTATTTCTCCATTTCTCCTTCCAATCCCCAAGTTGAGCTTATCGGAATATAGATGCATAGACGCAGCATCTCCCAAGAAGACGACCCTGCCATTACTGGAGCTGCTACTTCCCCTTCCCCCGAGTACATAACCACTTTCACACCCTACTACACAAAGGAGTAACCCAACTCCATTCATCCTGCCAACTTCGCGGCATCCTTGCCGTCAGCAGCGGTGTGCGATGCTCTACCAGTCGGATTCCCAAAAACTCAACATCTCAACCATGGCGTCTGGATTGGGTTTCCTATATCGGCGAAAAAGACACCAGCTCAATGTACAGCATTGTTGACATCGCGAGGCGAAACCGTGTCTTATAGCGTGTTCTTGGTGATAATGTCGGGGGGGGGGGGATGACGAATGCGATATTGAAACGGGAGCAAACGGGGATGGTGGATTTATCTTCTGATGTGAGGATTAAGATTTCCATGTCCGGGGTTATAACCCCTGGTGTTGTGCGTGCGAGGGAATGTCTTGATGAGGTCTAGAAACCAGAGGTAGATGTGGTTTTGATTTCTACGTTGGAGAGGTGATGGGATAGTGCGAGATTCGTGTGGCATCAATGATCCCGACTTGGCAGTGGCGGTAGCAGATGAACGAGTCAAATGGATCCACGGGAAATCGATCCTACGGGATGGCCGGGAGAAGGTGAACAAAGACAAAACAAGAGAATGTTGACGTATAGCTTCGATTTGTTGAAGTTCTACACTATCATAATCGGCCCATGGAGGCCTACACTCCGAAATAAGGTATCAAGAATAAAATCCCATCACGCAGTGTTGAATGCAAGACCATCCCAGGTCATCCCACGCCAAAACAAAACATTAAAAAACACACCTCCGGTGCAGGCCACTTTTTATGCCGTTGAAGGACAACCACTTTTGAGTTCTTAGTTGATGGAGAACCCGAAATGCCAATCATAACATCGTCGAATCATGTTGAAAGTCTATTTCCCAAGATCATCATCGAACGCAGACGGAAATGTAAAGAAATTAGTAACGGTAGATCTCAGGCTTGAAGGGGCCGTTGATGTCCAGGCTGAGGTATTCGGCCTGGACGGGGGTAAGCTCAGTGAGCTTGGCGTTGACGTGTTCCAAGTGGCAGCGAGCGACCTGCTCGTCGAGCTGCTTGGGCAGAACGTAAACACCGACGGGCTTGCGGCCACCGGCACCGAACTCGACGTACTTCTTGCCAAAGGCCTCATCCTCAGCCTTGAAGAGGGCAATCTGGGCAAGGACCTGGTTGGAGAAAGAGCAGGACATCACGAAAGAAGAGTGGCCGGTAGCACAGCCAAGGTTGACAAGACGACCCTCGGCGAGGAGGATGATATTCTTGCCGTTGAGGTTGTAACGGTCAACCTGGGGCTTGATGTTCTGGACAGACTGAGCGTTGGCCTTCAACCAGGCGACGTCAATCTCAATATCGAAGTGACCAATGTCTGGAAAATCGTCAGTTTCAATCCTCAAGCCAATTGTTGTCTCAAACAACTTACTGCAGACAATAGCGTCGTTGCGCATGGCCTCGAAGTGACGGCCAACAAGGATGTCACGGCAACCAGTGGTGGTGACGAAAATCTGACCAACAGGGGCAGCAGCCTCCATGGTGTTAACCTCGTAACCCTGGACGGCAGCCTGGAGGGCGTTGATGGGATCGACCTCAGTGACAATGACACGGGCACCCATGGAGTGGAGAGCCTGGGCACAACCCTTGCCGACATCACCGTAACCGGCAACGACAGCAACCTTACCAGCAATCATGACATCGGTGGCACGCTTGATACCATCGATGAGGGACTCACGGCAGCCGTAAAGGTTGTCGAACTTGGACTTGGTGACACAGTCGTTAACGTTGATGGCGGGGACCTTGAGCTTGTTGTCCTTCAGCATCTTGTAGAGGTGGTGAACACCGGTGGTGGTCTCCTCGGAGACACCGAAGCAGTCCTCGAGCATCTCGGGGTACTTGGTGTGGATGAGGGAGGTGAGGTCACCACCGTCATCAAGGATGAGGTTGAGCTTCTTGCCATCTTTGAAGGCCTGAAGCTGCTGGTCCAAGCACCACTGGTACTCCTCCTCGGTCTCACCCTTCCAGGCGAAGCTGTGGAAAACAAAGGTTAGATGGAAAGTCCAGAGAAAACAAACAGCTGCGAATTCCTCGAAAGATTTAAGAAGAATCAAAACTTACACAGGGACACCGGCGGCGGCAATGGCGGCAGCGGCGTGATCCTGGGTCGAGAAAATGTTGCAAGAAGTCCAGGTGACCTCGGCACCGAGGTGAGTGAGGGTCTCGATGAGGACGGCGGTCTGGATGGCTGAAGAAGCGGTCAGCACAGGATTCTTTTTGTTGATGGATCAATTCATACTCATGTGAAGACAACCAGCAATACGGGCACCCTTGAGAGGCTGGTCGGCACCGTACTTCTCACGGATGGCCATGAGACCAGGCATCTCAACCTCGGAGAGCTCGATCTCACGGCGACCGAAAGCGGCCAGCGACTATGGAATGGTCAATGAGTGATGGGGAAAAATGGGTGATTGGGAGAGACATACGAGGTCAGCGACCTTGAACTTCTGTGCGGGAGCAGACATTATGTAAAATATGTATCCAAAAACTGCTGACTGTTAGAGAAAAAAATCAAAAGAGATTGTAGGTACTGACTGACCAAAGGTGTATGAATGAGAAAGAAAGAGGAAAAAGGGAAAATGAAAATGGAGGGGAAAGGAAAACTCTTGGCTTGGGGATCCACCAAGGTCCCAGAGCGTGTTAAGTACTGATACCTACAAAATGAGCACTTTTAGACTGCACAATCAAGTACTGGTACTTTGCAACAGTTCTCCGGTCTCCGAACGGAATAGTGGGCTGACTGATCGGGGCGGGGTCTTGCTTAGTCAGGATGTGCAGCCACCACTGCAGCCACCCAGTCACGTGATAATGCCACAATATACTCTAATAAGTACTAGTGCGCTTCCGGTGGGGGCCACACATCTAGATCCTATCAAAGTGCAGAACAGAGGCACGTACAGGCGACGAAGTGTGCCAGCAGGATTTCCAGTCCTATTGGCTATCACTAGAAGAAAACAGTTTCCTAGGTATGATGCATTGCCTCTTCATGTTCATGCTGGGGCCTTGCTGCTCACAAATGTGGGCACACATGATGGCTTTTATGACTTGGGAATCTACCCCTCTTATTGACCTTGTAGCGTAGCTCTTGTTTTACCTGATCGATCTGAGAAGAACAGTTGTTTTTCGTGTTTCTTTCTTTGAATTTTAAACTTTTTGTTTTGTCAAAAAACAAGGTCCCTTGCAAGCAAGAGTCCGCCACCCACATGCAATTGTGCCTTTGACTAGGCGGATCGAACCATACAAAAGGCACATATTTAAATCTGCTTTTTGGTACTACAGAAGTCTTTATAAACAGGTTTTAACCAAGACTTCTAAAAATCTGATCTATATCAGTACCACCTTTGAGCATTGCCCTAGGTTTGAAGGGAGCCCTTTTACAATATTGCTATTTGAAAAAACCTACGATCGTCTCTTGTATAAATCCTCAACTACAAAGGCGTTCCGAAAACCTGCCTAAGAACTTTTCCAATGCATTAGGAAAATGTTCATTGATTTATGAACTAAACAATGCCATTAATTCAAATAAAAAGATGGTCATTTATCGATGCTGAAATGCGTATTATACTGACCAGCACGACCACACTCCGTCGCCCAGAGACATAGGCGGCCGATTGTGCCGCATGCCACAAAGATCAGAACAGAAAAATCCTAAACAAATAACATCTATGTTTGCTAGTAGGCCAATTTTTGTAAATTCTATAGAGCGTGTTGCCTGGTGTATACTCCCACGGTTCAATGCCCGGACAGTGACAAGGGTGCGTTGAAATCGGTTCATCACCGCAGAGCGCAGCAAGGTAACCATTGAGCGGAGAAGATTGCCATATGTCCCTCTCATAATCAATACTAGTGGTCAAAGTCGGATTTCGTGCTCCAACTTTGGCACATATTCGTCACTGAGAGGCTTCATAAGCGCATCGCTCTTGGAAACTTCGCGCAGCCTGTCTAGCTCGACGAATCCAAAATAGATCAACCCATTTAGGAAATATTTCTCGATTGTAGCCATATATGACTGGGCTTCAGATCTTCTAAAAAAAAGTTAGAAGTTGTTTCAAGAGCGAATTGTTGTAAATTACCCCTGCAGGATTCTTGATCTGTGAGTCACCCATTTATTTAATTTTGTAACGTAGGCCATCGCAAGAATAAACACTAGAGATGCACCATGAACGCGGCTTTCATGAATACTGAGCGTGGCAGCCAGGGGAATAGAGAGTGAGTAAATTGCGCTTGACGAGTACCCGCGTAGATACGGTGTGTAGGCGAAGAAAAAGATCGCCAGTCGGGCATAGAGGAAGCTGTCGAGGGCATAAATGGACACTTTGTGCAGGCTGGGCACTTGAAGGAGGTATGATATGGTGGAGATAAGTGGACGCAGCAATGCACCTGTTTGGTACGGGGGCCGAGTTGTACGTGGATCACCGCGACGAAGCGTTTTTACGAGAATCAGGCTGGTCCAAGACCAAATAAAGCAAGAAAGCACGTCTATCACCTCAGGGAGGATATCATCAGTGCCAAGTCGGACTTTGGAGATGTGATATCGAGCCAATTCTGTGATCCCAGTGCCGATATGTATGATGAGACACGCTTTGTTCTTGGAGAACTTCGTGCTATATATTCGAATCTGCCATCGAGTGTGATAGAGGATGATGACTAGATAAGCAAAGCAATGACCGACGAATGGTACGATATTGGATTTCAAGACCATGTTGAGACCAATTGGATCAATCCTTGGACCTTGTTCGTACATTTATTGCTTGAGAACACGTCGATGATTGTAAAAGCGCTGAACAGCTGCGGTTTTATATCTGGGAATCTTCTTGATGCGATCAACAACAATTTCTCTTTTTGGGTACATGCATACAGACCCCTTCGTGTCACTTAGTGATGCAATGTGACTTTGCGATCTGCTGGATATTTCAAAAGAGATAACTCTAGAAGCAACCACGAACATGTAACACGAGATCTAGATAAGGCTAGATTTTACCAGTTGATTTCAAAATTGCCCGTTTGTAGGGACCATTCCTCTTCGACCATCTAATTGTTTAGATGATGACCCTCGATGTGGGCACAAAACATCTTTTTCCTTCTTTTGAACTCCATGTGTCCGCGCACCCTTGAAGTCCAATACACTTCTGTAGTACAGCATCCTGCTAACTCTGCTACCATAGAATTTATGGCGTCGATCACTGATAAAGGCGGGATGACACAGAGATAGGGAAGAATAGTTGTTCCTTGAATATACCGTGGACAGCGTTGTTACCCTACAGAACTGCCACGAAGGCCATGTAGCCTGGTGCCAAGCTAACTTTCGTGATGATTGTGTTGGTCAAATATCTGTCTGCTCAAATAACATGTGTCTTGTCGTCCCTCGCTTGGCACATGCTAGTCAATTATAGATTTTGGTGAAGATCTTGATCGCCGCGGTCGCTTTAAAACGTGTTTCAAGCGCAAGGGAAAAGGCAGCAATCAGAGCGTTGAACAGGGTTTACCAGGCGCTTGTCGCTACAAGTTTAGATGCAGTTCCACCTCCAGAAATGCCAACTGGTAGAGATGGGAAATAAAGTATTAACTTAAGCTATAGAGTGGAGAGGATGATGTATGTCGTTTATTTCTGTCACCTAGTGTAGTGGATAGATTTAGACTATATGTGATCGGAGATCCATAGCGTGCACACAAATAGTATGCGAGAGAATTTCTTGGTTTGACAGGTAAATAACTTTCTTAACATGACAGCTTTGGGACTCAGTATCAATGCTACAAAAGAAACAGGTGCTTCAGAATCTGCGGCATGGTTTTGACTCCCAGATCTACGTTTTCGAAGCCTATGCTCAAAGAAGTATACAGTACTTCGAAGACCCCAACCCGACAAACTCGGCCTAACATGTTATTCGGGCTATCTTGAAGGCTGTTTTGTAAAGCACCACCTAGGTCCTCTCTTTGAACTCCTTCGGAGCGATTTGGAGCGCAGCGTTTGTTGGAAAGCAAGTATATAATTGAGTCAACGTTGGAAACGCGTGGAATTTCGATCGCCGAGGGAGATACCCCAGTTCGGAGCATTAGTAAGGGACTTTGGTTCTTTCACAACATTTTACTTGATTGACTGACAAAATTCAATTTTAGGATTGATATCGAAGCTCCGCCTAAACCGATAAGAAATTCCACCTAGAAAGAACCCAACGTCCTTTTAAGCAAAGTATGATTAAGGACCACTTGACTAAAAGCCCTAAGCCCTAATGCTCCAGATGGAAACTGAAAGGCTCAGCACTATGTCGCCTCAGATAGATGCGTTGCTGAATGTTACGCGGGCTGACCCCTTTTGTTCTGCGCCTACTCTATATCAGGCATCGTGAGGCATTTTTTCGACCGGTCAGAGACCAGGACGGGATATCGAACTACAAATATCAGCCTCTCATAGGGCCACGCTCTGCACCTTGGTCCGGTCTTTTATATTCTTTCCCTACAGAAAAGCTGTTTGATGGTACATTTTCTATTGTGGTTAGGGGTTCATAGGTTTTCGTTTTTATTTGTTCTGTTTACCTGTCTTACGGATCGAACAATTGGGCTTTGTGTCCAACAGATGTAAGTCCAACTTGAATGCTTCCGAAATGGAGAGGTAGCCCTTATTCGGGCGTTAAGACTTCCTAAAGACACCGAAAAGGTGCCAAGGAACATAGCCGGTTCTACAACTCAGTTGGTGTGGTGCTAATAACGCCAAAGTGGAGGGTTGCCCTCTGTATCCATGCTTCTTTTTTTGCTTTTTTTTGTTCAAAATCTCATCCTAATGTTGGATTCACCGTTCTGGGATAAATTTCAGTGCTTTTACACCCCCCTCTCAAGTCACGCTACCCGGCGAACCCCTGGTGGCGTGTTATATATGAATGACATCAACAAGCAGTAAGCCAGCTCATTAGGAAGTAAAGTCAAGTGAAGCAGGAATCTAAAGCGTCGAGCTTCGTTTAAGAAAATATGACCGTTTGCACGCAGGGCCAGCGCTATCTCTTCCGCGAGGCCAATGTTGTGAACGTATTGCCACTTGGATATTCATTGGGGCTTTCGTATTCTTACTGCGTCAGAAAACAGCTATTCAGCTTCACCTCTTGACGCACAGCCCCCCACTCTGATATACCCTTCAGGTGACCCTCTTTAGTCCTCAAGCCCCAGGCAGTGTCACCTCACACACAGTCCCTACCTTCTGACAAACCCTGCATTGCGTTGAATGTACAACATAGGTTGCAGCGCAGCTTTCGCCGTGGCCACTCGTCACACGCGGGACCCGGGCGCTAGTGTCTGTGTGTCGCACCTGGAAGCATCGTCTTCATTTCAAACCTGAAGGACATGTGTCCTAGGTTAAGCCCTGGAAAAAAAATGGTGGACTAGCTTCCATCTCGGGTGAGATGAAAAAGGGGAACGCAAAGAGGAGTAGAGATAGAGTCGGGCTGAAGGATCAGCATTGGCTGACTGCGTGATTTCTCACCGAGAATCTAGGTGTGCGACTACAAAGAGGCATCGAGGTACTGCCATTTTTTGGGGGGGAGGGAATAATGGGCTGTGTGTGCGTTGAAATTTGTTTCTTCAAGTCCAACAACATCAACAAAACGAATATCAGCACGGGCTCTTGAATTTTTCCAAGTGTATTTGAGGAGCATAACCAGCCTTGATTTGGAGAAGTTCACTAGTTTACTCGAACTTTGTTTGTCAATCAGTTATGAAGACTATAAAAGTGGGAAATGGGCACAACGAGACAAGAGTCGATCTCGGAGGGGGGGGGAGGGGGGGTGTGATATTTCTCGGACTGAGCACCGACGCTGTTAGCTTCCAAGTACCTAGATCTCTGATCTTATCAGCGTTTCAAAAGCCAATATGTGCGACATACGTTCCAGCATCTACTGTTACTCAAGGGGTCTTTGCAAAAAAAAGCCCCCGATAGCTGTTTCAGTACCGAAACACTAGCGATCGTCATGTGGAATCACTTAGCCACGTTTGTTTTACGGTCCAGCGTAAAAGTTGTGTAGAAGCTGAGCAATGGAGGAAATCTCAGAATCTTCCTGCTATCTGAAGATATCTGTTGTCAAGAATCAAAGCATAGGGTCTTAGAAGGAACGAGGTTGAGTATTCCCCGTGAACCAGTCTCTATAACAAAAAGAAGTAACAATACGAGCCCCTCCACGCATTCGTCCCTCTCCGCTCGGTGAAATCCCGAAATAAAAGTCTCCGGGACTCCGACCACCTCTCCAGGTAGCCGTCATATTGCTTCTTGCTCCCCCCACCCAAATATGCAGGGGCCGGGCTATCCGTGTTTGAAGTAATTTCCCTTCTACTTGGCATCCTATCATGCACGCAACACCAGCATGGGACATGAATAGTCCATCAACATGGCGTTTCTGCTTACGCAGCCTCATTCACACCAGATACGCTAATATGGCAACATGCATAGTATGTATGTGTTGGGAAGCCGATGGATGCGAACAAATGAGTTAAAAAAAAATCAAGGTAATTTATCTCAGTCTCGAAAAAATGAATCAGTGCTGTCGTACGGAGTACTCCGTACTAAAGTGACTGTCATGCATGGACCATGTTAAAGTGCCCAAGTATGAACTGCGCCTTGCCTGAGCCCATGAGCCACCTATTCCCGCCTAGTGAACTTAAATTAGAGTGCTCCATACGTTGTACACCATTGTCAGCACTCCTGTATGTACTCTCCACCATCAAGAACCACCTCCGGCCGAGCCCTTATTAGCAGGTGGCGCAGGATTGCTCCGTACAGAGGTAGCTATTTTGCCTCTTCCGTGTGGCGCGACATCGATAGTGAGTTTATTTTGGGAAAGTGGACTCTTGTGTTTCCTGGCCACCACTAGTACAAGGGCCAAGCGCTAGAGATTACCATCATCCGCTAAATACAATTGGATGCGCGTATTCTCCGGCAAGGTGGGAACATAAACTTAGATAAATGGGGAAGAGGGGAATCATTGAGAAATGATGGACACCACGCGAGTTCTGGTGAAATGTTCTTATTTTGTATGTACAGTTTGGTTTACTTGATATTAACCTGAACTTGTTCTCGAAGATCTAGCTAATATGCTTGTCATGGAAAAAAATTTATCTCTTTGCAGGGGATGTCTGACGAGAACGGCCGTTTGACCGAGACGATTCAATATCATATCCAATAGGGAGTACGGCGTAGTACATTCCTGGAAGCTACTGTTTGACTGTAGCCTAGAGTGCGATGTCTGAAGTTTGTCCTGCGTAGGCGCTCAGACCGTTTCAAGGGAGCTGGTAATGGATTATGGAGAATTGCACGGCGTAGTTGGTTATTAGGTCGGGTATAGCAGAATGACCCATAGTGAGTCCACAGTAACATATGATAGCTCCCGAGGTCGGCCCGGGGCATTTTTCTCCGCTTTGTCAGCAGGGGTCCAGAGGAAGACGCATCTCCAGGATGCTGCATAAATTGGAACGGTAGTCGCTCCGAACCCTAGAAATAGACCAAAAAGATCAATAGCGCGAAAGTCTCCGAACACGAGCCACAAGGGGACCTTAGTGTGGAAGCGAAGGCTCCGTGCTGGTAGATGGGAAATCATCTGCCGGATCGTCTCTATGGAGTTAAGCATAAATTCTGGTCATTTATGAGCATTAAGTTGCATGCTCACGTATTATGTCCGTATTCCTGAAAATCAGGCAGCAGTTTTGCTTGACTGTGGCTGAATGCTGACACTCATTTTCTGACGGTGGAACTTGGTGGAGCTCAAACTGGGGAGGGGGGGTTTTCATTCGGACATCGGATGTTAAATCTCCGACCAGTGTCGGTGAGATTTGAGGTCTGCAACATATCCCAAAAATGCAAGGATTTCAAGTAATTCAATTTTGAAATGTTCCGCCTCTACACTTCGTACTCCCTGTTGAAACAAATAAGCACATAGGACGCCGCGCTGGCGAAAAAGGTGGCGGGTGCAGAACGGAGCACGGCGCGCAACATGAAATTAGGGCATCCATGCTGCTAAGCCGGAATGGTGATAATAGCGAAGCTATGCTAGTGGATCATAACTGACTAGTCTCATCATGGTAAGCGTGCCACGAGGTCCTGCGTCCTAGTGTAAAACAAGGGGAAGAAAAAACAAAAAAGAAAAAGAATAGGGTCCGTCCAGGAAGGTAAAAACAAAGCGACAAAAACCGGGTCCTGACGAATCAAGCTTGTGGCGGAAGCTTCAATGACGAGTAAGGGGACAGAGTCGAACACCAAATCCTTGGTTGAGACGAATTTGCTGGAGCCGGACCAGACAGCCCGGGCTACCGTGGATATACGTCTGCATGGGTGTGCCCCGTTCAAGATCGAGCGTAGGCAAATCAACGCTCGGCTGCGAAAGCCCTAAAACGGTCCGCGTCTTCAGCCCACGAAGTTTATACATCTTCCACAGATTAGTTCAAGCAGATCGGGAAGATTGAAGCTTGGCTTGATCGGCAGTGCCACGTGTGGTATTTGTGGACGAGAGAGTGGAAAGAAAGAAAAATGCAGTACTGACAAATGACCGGTGAAGTGCCTAGTTGGTACACGATTTGTTCACGTACTCCGTAAGTTAAGCCAGCCTCTACCAACCAAAAAACGAAACGAAAACATAACTCCATTTTCTTTAATAAGAAAATCTGGTTTCATTGTACGTCACAGAGTACGGAGTCTGTGTGCCATAACGCAGAGGAAAAGTCAGCCCTGGAGAGCCCCCGGGAATAGATTCTCGGAGCGGGGCGGACGCGAATACGAAAACTTGCACGGGCCAACCCCTTTCAACAACCCCCCCTCGGATCCATGTATGTTGTATATCTTTTGGATGGTTGACGCAGATGGTGACGGATGATCCAGATTAGGTTGATTAGGTTATCTGTACTCGACACGTGGAGACAATTATTCTGAGTATCTCCATAGCCAGCAGATGTAGATTTGTACGGTTTTATACATGATTTTCATGTGATCTCGGAGAAAAGATAATGGTCGGTTGAGAGTACTCTTTGTAGAAAACCAAAAAATAGTCTGACATGGGTGCCGCCACGTTATGGTCAAGAGAAAATAGATTATTTAAGTGTTGAATCGTTAGATTCTTAGGGCCCATTTTTGTGTCTTGTCTTTTTAAATTGGGGGTTTTTTTTCGATTTTCACCGCAAGGCGAGCTCGCCATGCAGTAATATAAATCCAGAACAAGGTTGCCTAAAACAGAGCTCTAACTCGTAAAGAACTAAGAAACCAAGAAGCCAATCCCCGCCATACTACCATCATCACTCACATACGTATGAATTCCCCTACATATGTAGTCCCGTGAGACGCTAGAGTTGGATTCCAAGCAGGTACGTATGAAGACGCTCATGGTACCGATTATCTGGACAGGCCAAAAGCTTGTCCATCCCTGGTTTTAGGTTGAAATTCCTAAAATAAAATAAAATTTCGTCAAATGGGTATCCGTAAATAAAACCAGTTTACTCAGGGTCCAATGGTCTCATGATTGCCCGCAGTTCCGCCGATATGGTGGATCTTTTCCTAGTTTTCGCTTAGCCCAGCCGAAACCCTAGGCCGGATGATAACCCAGTCTGAGTTGATACTTCCAACTCAAGACTCGCATCAGCTTGAGAATAAAGCGGAAAAGTAATTCAAAGGATGAAGGAAAAAAAAAAAAAAACGAAAAGGTCACAGACCACGGGAGTTGCGGGCCGGAAGAAACGGAGAAGACAACGGGTCTGCACAGAGGGTGGATTAGGGGTCTTGGTATTGTATTGGGTGCGATTTTGTATCTTTGATTTCTTTTCTTTTAATTTCTGTTTTGACTCCACCGAACCAAATAGCGTGCTCGGAATGGGAGTGCATCCTCTGGGGAGCCTCGACAGACCCTGGAGCTTGGCTTCTTTCGCTCTTTTTCAGTACAATTAGTTTCTGGCCAGGGCTCACTACTTTTCCTCTCTTCTTCCTACTTGATACTTATTCCTGACTTCTAATTTTGATCTCTCTTATCTCATTCCGTAAATTCTCCTCCTGATCATCCGAGTTTGCATTTTCAACTTCCTCCACGGGCACGCGCAGAGCGCATTTCGTTTCTACTTATTCTCAGACGGCCCAGCACATTTCTGGAAGAACTGTCACTTGTGCGCGGTTAGACAACCGGCGTTGAACTTCGACTTTCTGCAACATTCCCAGGCCAGTTTGCAACTGCCGTTGAGGATTGTGTTCCCCACATCCAATTGCAAAATTGGAAAAGGAAAAAAAAAAAAAAATTAGGAAACAGGGAGAAAAAGGAAACCGAGACGACTTGAGCGGAACAAATTTCACTCTCAGGGAAAGAGTTTTGTCAGACCTCACCTTGCCCCATCACTGAGTATCTCCAGCATTTGACAACCTTTGAGATACTATTTCGTCGCCTTCGGGCCTCAAATAAGATCCACGGAGCTCGGCACAAGCTCGAGTCATCGGTCCTCTGTTCAGGTCTGCAGGCGAGTGCCGATTTAGGGTCTAATGTTGTCGACGTGTTACACGACACAGAGGACAAACATCTTTCGAGAGCCGCTGGTGCGTTTGTCGTGTCCTCCGGGGGGG